GCTATTTACGAAAACTGGAGCATGGTTTGAAAGTGGGAGCCTTGCTTACAGGTTTTGGTAGAGGGGTGAAGAGGGTCAAAGAAATTGATGAGGGCTGTTTAGCATTGTTGAATATTTATTTGTTAACTTTGGAATTGCTTGTACATCGTGTGCGTTTTCAGAAAAGGGGGAAAAAAATTCGTTGTGTTGTTTTGCCCATGGTTTGGAAAACCGAACCAGACCGACCGGTTCGACAGGTTCAACTGAGAACCGGCCATCACAACGGTCCGGTCTGAGGTGTTAAAATGTTGGGCACCAAAATCGATTAAAAACCGTTTAAACCTTTCAAATACCAATTAAATATTACAATTGGAAATGGTTCCAGCGTTCGAGAGTTTTTAATACAATTGCATGTTTTGACTTCTGCACTTTATTTCTTTGATGTTTTTTTCGATGTGGGCCTGTCTTTTTCTCTTTTTTCTATTCTTCTTCTTTTGCTTCTGCTTGTGGTGTGGGTCAATTCTAAAAACCACTTAATTTTCACTGTTTTNAAAAAAAAAAAAAAAATATACGAATGCTATTGCAATTTGCAAAGCACTAGGCCACTGAATGACGTACTCAAAAATCCGATCTGTTTGGGCAATTTTTTTTTTATCCGTATGCAAATTGCAAAGTTTCAAATGCAGACCTTTTCAAATTTCAAAACTAAAATCCACCTTAAAAAAATGAAAATTAGATGTATTATATTATTATTACAAATTTACAATTTATCAAATAAATACAAACCATACCTAATAAGTTTAACACTTTAACGTTTAATTGGATAATGATAAAAATACAAACTAATGATAAAAAATAAATACAACTATTTTGTATATAGAGAAGTATCATTTTACATTATAAAATTAATGAGAAAAATATATGAAATTATATATTATGTATATAAAATAATAAAAAATTATATATTAATTAAACTGTTTCGACCACTGGTTCGACCAGTGAATCATTGAACCGGTAGCTTTACCGATTAGATGACCGGTTTCAAAACCTTGATTTTGCCTGTTTGGAGTTGTTTGGTCAAGTGTGCTATTATTCTTCGGCTAAACTACACCATTACTAATCATTTGTCATTTATTTTAAGTTACTACATAAAAGAAAAATTGCATGTTTACCAATTTTTCTAATTCTAATTTAAGAAACACGTCTCTCTTCTTATGTGTTTCTCTCCTGCATTCGTGCAACATTCACGCTCTCCTTATTTCTCACATGTTGTATAAAATACATAAAAACAAAGACAATACAATTGATACATAAAAAAACAATCAATAGAATAGTAATTTAAAACTAACATCTAGAAGATATTCGTTTTCATTTAAAGTTTATTCGTGGAAAATAATCCTCATTATATCTTTACATAATTTTATACATTTTTTTTTTCCCTGTAAAAGAGCAATAGTGTTAAATTTATGATTGAAGCTTACTTAAAAAAAAACTCAAATAAACCATAAAGAAAAACCATACATATAAACGAAGAAAAAAAAAATTGTCCATCCAAGAAAATCACCAAAGATCAGGTCTTGCTAGATATAAAATCCCCAATTCCATTATCAAAATTCCTTTACTGTTGTTGTAGTATTTTTGGGCATGTGGTAACCGAGTTACCTGATTCGGGTCATTCTCAAAGGAAGACTGTTCGGAGCTTCGTTCACTACCTAGTCGTCAAAGTCACATAACCGAAAATAGGGTCCTACACATTCTACTCGTTTGATTGGGGATGATTGCACGAAATTAAACTACTAATCTAAGAGCAAATGATCGAAACTGCAAATATAGAGAGAAAGATCGAAACTTTGGTCTACCGGAATCTCCAGGACTCAAGAAAAAGAAAATAAACAAAGAGAAAACATGCAATCATAATGATCCTAGGTAATCTAACACGAGATTTCTATACTTCTCATCACGCTTTAAGCAAAGTCAAGATCTCTACACAAGATTAGCACATATAGATCCCTAACACACGTAAGCAAACAATAAAAATAAGGCAAAACCCAAGAAACGAGCATACACACAATTCGACAACACAAACTCGAAGTAGAAGGGCCTAAGCAAGGTTTCTACTCTCCTATCGCATGCTTGAACGAAAATAGTGAATAAAGCTCGAAACTTGGATGAAAATAAACTTGCCGGAATTTCGCCGGAAAAATAGAGTCATGGTCCTCCCAACCAAAGAAAAAAAAAAGGAAAAGAGAGAGAAGAGAGAAAATGGAAAGGATTTCCCAACTTAAATGAGGGGTGGTGTCCAAAATTACAAAGCACAATGTCTATTTATAGCTACACCACAAACACACACTAAAAACACACACATTTAATGAGGAAAACTCGCGAGGTAGGCTGATTTCGCGAGCAAAAGGTGGATTTTCGCGGGCTGGACGAAGGTCGCGAGTGTTTTCTTGTGTTGGTGCTGGGGTGGACTCGCGGGCAAAGGCATCGTTCGCGGGCGCGAGCCCGAGAACTCGCGGGCAGGCATGGCACTAGCGGCACTCGCGGGATACAGGCAGTTCGCGGGCGCGGGTCTTTGGTTTCGTGAGCAAGCACTGGGGCTGGTGGACTCGCGGGCTAGGAGGCTTTTCGTGGGCGTGGGCCGCAGGATTCGCGGGCGGCACTGGGCGCACCTCGCTGGGAACTCGCGAGGCACGGGGATTTCGCGGGCGCAGGGGTCGAAAACTCGCGGGCAGGCGGAACTCGCGGGCTAGGGCATTTTGCGGGCGCGAGTTGTGGAACTCGCGGCTGAAGCACCAAGGTGCGGGCTTGAGGCCTGGGCATACTCGTGGGCGCGGAGGTGGTTCGCGGGCGCGGGCCTGGCACTGGAAATGGTCCAGGTGACCCCTTGAGACTCAATTTGCTCTAACTTCTCGCACGCTTCTCCGATTGACTTGAAACTTTGACTCACGCTCCTCAAATCTTTTTCTCCTCGTCTTGGAATGCTCAAATCGATATCACCGCGCAATTAATATATATGTTCGAAAATGGTTCGCGTGGCTCAGACATGATTAGGACGGCTCGGAAATGTCTCGAAAATGGCTCGTCTCCCTAGACTCGATCATGTGGACCTAAAAAAAATAAAAAAAGACAAGAAAAATACGCCGAACCACACAAACACAATACGAGAGTAAAAATGCACGAAACACGATAAAATGGACCAGTCGACACTAAAACGAACCTAAAAAGACTAAACTAAAGCACATAAAACACACGAAAATAAGCACAAAAACACAATAAACAACTCCCCCCACACTTAACTCTTTGCTTGTCCTCAAGCAAACAAAACAACAAGTAACTCGAAAAGAAAAATTGAGAAGTCCAAAATTAATGAGCATGCGAAATGAAACTCTCATCTTCATCCGGATGTCCATAAAATCGAACTCCAATCCAAAAACACGTTCCCCACACAGTGAATCCATACAAAATAAAAACTCATCCCAAGTTATTCTACACATAATTACTCGATTCAAACTCCCTTTTTCTACATACACGTGCAAAAAACTATAAATGGTCACTACACATATAAGGATGATAAGCACGAAACCAATACGCCGACTCCCATTCTTCTTTTTCTCTTTTTTTTTTAATTCTTTTTTTTTATTATATATGAGCTTCTTTTTCCAAACGAGGTTTCCCAGACAATGTTTATTTAGGTTTAACCTCGAGGGGTCTCCTCGAGTTCCCTAGACCGGTTTCTCGGGCTCATTATCCCATCCCACGAGGTGACCGTACCTCCTCGCAAACTCACATTTTATTCCCCCTTTTTTTTTCGAAGGGAGTGGCACACAAGGATACATCACATACATCACATTTACAATAGCATGATCATCACAAATCAATCAAAATGTACCACAAGTGTATAGCATAACACGTTTACAACAATAATTGAACATAAGGCAAGTATGTCTCAAGATCATCAATCGAGA